TTATTTCATGTGTAACACCTCACGTTATTAAATTAATAAATATATATTTTGAGAGGGAAAGAAAACTCAAATGTTTTAGTCGTTTACAGCAGATAGGCAACGAAAAGAAAAAGACGTAAAATTAGTTCCGTAGGCTGCAGGTGTGACCGAGCCAGCTATATAAGTAAAAATGTATAAGAAAGACAGAGATGCAAGTACGGTAGAGTGAGTCGAAAAGCAACCGGTCCAGGGTAGGCAGATGCTCTCACTAGAAACCCCCACGGCAAACTTACAGATTCCAACAATAAGAAAATAATTATTAAAAACAATTCCTGTTAAACCTTTATCCAGATTCTGAGTTTCGCATGGGAAATAAAATTACCTCACGATGCCCATGTATGAGGGGTTTATCTCATACATACATACGTTAGGTGCAGGGTTGGGTAGGTTCTAGTCTAGGTACTAAATTCCATGCTAAAAGATTTTGTTTTGATACTCACTCTACAGCCTGTGTTACATAGAAGGTTCTCATGAGGTGCATACTGCCAGAGATAGTGGCTGTTGTATGGTGAAGAGTTTGAAAGGAGTGTACCGATGTCTAACATTGACTGAGAACTGAGTCACGATGAAATTAATTACTGTTTTTATAATATTAGTTTGTACGTGGTGTGGTATTACCTACATACAGTTCGTGATGGTATGTACTTTATTAGTCTTTACATATTTTATCAGTTTTAACTTTAAACTACCTAGACTGTTTATATATTCCATTCATTTTTTGACATCTCATCATAATATGGCCAAAATCGGCCTTTTTTTAAGGTATTTCCTTCAAAAAAGATATGATATTACTTCCAGGTACTATAATTTCAACCCAAACTTGGAATGTAGTTTAATGCGTTCAGAGAAAGCATTATCTAGCAACCAAATTCCACCAACCGAGTTAAGATAATTATAGAATTATTGGAATATTTCTTCAGTAAAAAGAACAGTACAGTAAAAAGAATTCAGGTCTAGATTCCTTTCTATCATAATTACACCTAATTTGTTGACTCATTCTAATTTCGTGCTCTTGAATCTTGTGGTATAAAACGAAATTCGTATGAAATTCGACTTCAGTATAAAAACCAGTTATTGTAGATACATTATCCGTGTTATTTTCGTCATTACCTGAAATTTTACCGGTATTTGTTAGCAAAAAACACATGGTGCTATTAGTCGTAGGTACATACCGCACGGAGGAATGTTGGCACCGTGCCAAATTACCTGTCTGTACACCATCAACTCGTTAACGTTGAGTTTTATGAATTAAATTGTCTATATTGTAGCCGGCCGAGAGAGTGTTATACTTATCCCAAGCTAATACTCTATAACATTGAATTTTAATGGCTCCCAAACAAAAGACCACAGCAAGAATACATTTATGGAAGAACATTTTTTAAATATTTGCATTGTATTCAATTCATGCTATGATATTCATAATGTATTTTACATAAAATCACATTGCAGAACAACGTGTTCGCGTGTCTATTGAAAAATCAAACATGCGCGCACATGTGTGGCTTTAGAATTATGCGGTTAGTTAGATAGAAAAAATGCAAGGTATTCCATCGTACTAGCGTGAGAATAACTCCGCTGCTACGGCATCGATCGAAAAACACTTTACGTGAATTCACTTGCTTTTAATTTTTTTCTCACTTCCGAGGCTCAGGTCAATACGAAGGCTCGGAGTCGGGACGGGATTGCAAATGCGTGTAAAGGAATTCCGGAACAAAAATGTGCGCGTCTACCTGCAGCCGGCAGATGCGCCCTGAGCCCCCGCTCCCCTGCCCCTCGCATACCGCCATTAAACCATGTAAATTGATTACGTGGAAAATCTGAGAAAATCGCGCGCTAAGTACTGCAGGCGCGTGACCGCTACATGGCCAGTGTCACATGTGAAATTGCTCGGCTTTTTTGCATTCCGCAGCGCTGTTGTCGCCGCGGTCATCCTTGGATTGCTGCGATTACGATTGTTTATCGCCGCCTAGTTAACGAGCCTAAGCTGATTCCGAATAATTAAACAACTGTTACGTTTAGGGTTGCCACTTTATTGCTTACTATTACTGAGAACATTAACTGTTGTGAGCTTTTATGGTAGCAATGAAGCAGGTAGGCTAGCTGCGGATGTTTCGTTAATTTATCGTGTAGATTGAATTAAATCACTATTGGCAATTGGTCCCAATTGCTTTCCCATTTTATTCTTTAGAATTTATTTGCATTGTCGGTACCAAATATGCGCATACAATTTACGTGCCTTAGAGAATCGGACATTCTTGTTAAGCTGACTTTACCGGCAAGTGCGGCAACCCCTAAAAAATATTGAATACCTATTTAATTGATTAAAATACAAATCACGAAATTATATGAATGATTTCGCGTGAGGGGATGAGGTCAGTGATGGTCCGTTAGTAAGTCTCCGCGCGCCGACACCTCGGCGGGCCGTGCGTTTCGATTCGACGAACTTATTACGACAGATGGCCGCGGCCCGGGAGGCGGGAGCGCCCGCGGACCCCGGCCCTTCGGAGAGATCGACCTCCGAAATGCGCCCGAGATTGCATTCTTTCGGCGGCGCGGGCGCATTCCACTGCGCGCCATCCGAGCTCCGCGCGCCCGCGCCAGTCGACGCGCGCCCTTTTGGGGGTTAAGATGTGTCCGTTGCGGCGAGCGCTCACTATGTGGTCCCAGCCGCCTCCCCCAGAACCCGAAACGCAGACGGTCCGCGAGCGCGCGCACACCTGGTGCCGCGGTTGTTTCGGCAGCCGACAACTTGCGCGCATGGTGCGCCGGCCGCCCGAGTACGGCGTCCGCGTCGACCCGACGTCCGTCCAACCCGCCGGCTTGCGCGTGCGCGACGAACCCCAGTACCAGAACATCGACGAGATGCGCAAGCGACCCGAGTACGCTAACCTCGACGAGATAAGTCGCGAGTTCGGTTACCGGCTCTGCCCTGAAGGTCAGAACCTAGAGGACGAAGCTATTTACGAAAACATACTCTCAGTGCGTCAGATCCGTTCCGCGGAAGTGCGTTTAGTGCCTGTGTCTGAAGTGGCTTACTACGAAGGTCAAGGTTACGTGGCTACGCAGGTGCTCAGCAGGAATGGAACCTTCCCGCAGTGTCCTCCACACACCTGGAGCCGTCTGCAGCAAGCATGCAGGCTCAATGGATCGCTGCGGCTTTTCACTGTAAATGTCACTTGTTTCTCCACTCGAAATATGTACTCATTACACCTAGCATTTGACGTCATTGCTTCGAATACAATGTTCATATTATCTAAATGATGATTTTTTAGAGAACAGGATATAACCGTACGATGTTTCGTTGATGTTTTTACACGGATTCCAAACTAAAAAAGTCATTGCCCAACTCATAATACCGTATTTAACGTTGGGAGCAAAAAATGCCTGTTTCGGTATTCTGATCTAATGACTCGTTAATTTTGTATGTGACTTGATGAATTTCGTATGGACTTGCGAGGTATTATAACTTTATCTTTGAGAATTCTTAGTTAATTATTGGTTTTCATTATTATTTTATGATGCTCGTATTCTAGCACATATCTTAAACGTGTATGGCTAATGTTGGTCGTGTAGGACTTTTTTGCTATAGTAAAGTTTGTTTTAGTTGGTAACACTATAGTTTACGGTTTTGTTAAATATTGAAAGAGCTGTTGAACGATGACTGGCTGAATAAAGGAACACCTTTAGTTATGTTCATGACTACGTTTAACCATCAACGAAATAAGATAATTTTTCACAGTCAATCAAACAGTTAATAGTCATAAAACCTGACGGGGAACATCTTCGAGTAGTTCCAACCAGTAGCGATATAATTAAGTTTTTATTATGCACCTTTGTCTCGTAATTCAATCAAAATTTTTATATTGCCAACAAAAACTTGAGCTCTGAGGAACTCATCAACATAATCGCGTACCCTTTTAAAAACAAATGAGCTCCGATGAGCTCTGATTTTATCTTTAAAAGAAATTAAATGGTTAAGACACTTGATTACTCTTGGAAATTGATTTTCGAAGTACAAAAATGATTCCCCTCTATTGGAAGTCTTTATATTTATTCAGTTTACGATATCATTACTTGGATTCGGCAGTATATTTGTTTATGCATCCTCGGTTCGATAGTTGTCTGTTCTCTAGTGTAGTATACCTACTTGTTCAAATTAAACCATTGATGAAAACTCAAAAGTATGTTTGTTGACTCAGGCATCATTGGATTAAACTTGCTATGTAGCAGGAGGAATATTAGGTGTTAATAAAATATGTTTTTAGAAAAAAGCTATGAAAAAACCTGAACATCCCACTGCCATATTTATAGTTGTGTGTGATGAACCTAGCTATTAATCTTCCCTTAGTCAATTCAATCTCTTAATAAGCAAATAAAAACAGTAAACTCTTTCATATGGAAAAAATATGCAGTGTCTCACCACAGATCTAAAAAAAAGAAAATGTAATAAGGCTACAGGAATTTAAACTTCAAAATTATCATCCTCATTATAAATATTATCATATGACAATGTTTCCAATTATAATATGGTAATGTTAAGGCCGAAAACTAGCTGTAGACACGAAATTATCTAGAGGTCCCATGGGCACATTGTGCCTGCTATATTCTTCAAGATTGTATGATATGCATTATTTAACAAATTCGATGAATTTATGAAAACAATATCAATCTGTTTGGTAATTTTTGTTAGCACTTACTAACAAATATATTAGTCTAGTATGAATATAAACTGCAACTATTATTGTCCTTTAAATCGAGCTACCTGCACCATACCATTGTTAAAAAACTCCTCAAGAATTTTAGGAATTTTACTCAACTATACATTTTTTGCTACGTACGATCTATATTATGCGACTTTTTTCTTTACTCTTTTCTATCATACATAGTTTCATCATAAGCTCAAATTTCTTTAATATTTCTTGTAGTATTAATCTAAATCTTTCTTCTCTTTTTGTCTACAGGCGAAGAAGGAGATGTACGATGTGAAGAAGCAGAGGTTGTGTTTAGCCCAGGATGAGTACAAGCATTTGAACAATGCGCTCTCCACACTAGCAGCCTCTAGAACTAGTCGTAAGTATAATAATTATTATTTCTTAAACACATTGTCCTGGTATACCTAAATGGTTCGAAAGCAGATCGTATTAGTAAAGCGCGTCTATTATTGTGGATGCCATATTTCATAAAGATGTGCTCGCATATTTGTATTAATAGTAAAGTCTAATACAAAAAAAAAATGAAATACACTGTTATCATAACGACATACCCAACTGGATCATAAAATAAAATGTTACAGCCTACTTCATCGATCGTATCCAGAATGCTTCCAAAATAAAACAACCGGAGCGTATAGGGAATTAAAAAGTTAATCGTAGCATCTTCGTTGGAGCCTTCAATTCAATATCGAGCTATAAGTAGATTAGCGTCGCCACTCGTATACTGCACTGATGGTAAATTGTAATCAATACAAAACTACTTCATATCTACATTTGCATACACTCAAGATGAACTAAATTGAAAATTTTATTTCTCCTACCATCCTATCTCCATTGAAATTCTTTTAAACTATTAGAGCTCTGTTATAAAAAACAATTTTCTTCAACTTATGAAATAGCTTTATTCTGAGCCCCAATCACAATAAAATTAATGTGGAATGTTAATTATAATGGGGGACTAAGGGCTGCTTTGTGTTTGTTTACTAGCGTTAAAAATGTGCGGGCCTTCTCGAAGATAATTAAACTGGTTATTGGACCAGTATTCTTATATTTTTTCTGTAAGCAATTTCAATATTTCTGTCAAATGTGTCGTCCCCGAAGCATACATACGAGTTCCAATTTTATATGTCGATGAAGCTTATGGACTAGAGTGTATCAAGCTTTATTTTTATCTGATTCCATAGATAGTGTCCACATTTTATCGCAAAAAAACTCGCCCCTTAATGTTTATACACCGTGTCCGTTTATTGAATGTAATTTCGTATTTTATTATAGTCCAACTCGACGACGTTATTATTTTATTCCTACGTTTCATTTTGTCCAGCTTTGATCGCGACAATTTATTTATGTTTGTTTCTTGACGCTCAATACTTAGTTGCCAATGTTTATTTATTTCTGTAAATTAAAAACGTATGTCCAAATGGTGGCCACACACTACATCTCTTGTAGATTCTACTATGTAGTTAATTGGAACACCTGTGTGTTGCCCGAACGTCGTTTTAGTCCTTTTCTTTTGCTTCTTGGTTTATTTTTGAACTTTATTGATGGTGCTTGGTAAATGCCAGCGTGAATAAATTGGTTCTATTTGTACGTACTTAAGATAGCATTTTCTATCGCAGTGTGTTCATCAACGACGTCGATGACTACGACGTCCACCACCTCCCGACATGACCCGGAGCTTCTGAGGTCGGAAGTGACGCAAGCGCGCGGCCGGGTCGCCCAGCTACGCAAGGAGCTAAGGCAAGCCCGAGCTGAAGTCGCCAGCGCACGTCGCGGAGTTGACACGCTTGCAGAGTTAGTATGCTTATGCTGGAATGTTCTTAGTCTTAGATGGAGAAGTCAGCTGAAACGTCTAAAGGCAGTAAAAGGTGAGACTTAAGTTTGCATGATTGTGAGAATCTAGGACACATTGGATCACAATAATTGTAAGTATAAGAAAGTGAGCGTGTTTGCTTTGAATGGCATCCTTTGAGTGTTCGTGTGGAGTTCACTAAGATATTATTGTAACACAAAAAATCTGAATCATCTATGTTCGGTCGCTAATTTGAGATTTCCTATTTCAGAGTGGAGCAAAAAATTAGCGCTCAACAGGGCTGCTACAACATTACTGAAGCCCAAGCGATCATGACTGAATTGAAAAATATTCAAAAGTCGCTCACCTCTGGGGAGAAAGAGAGGGCAGATCTCATGCAGTCGTTAGCCAAACTCAAGGATGATTTGACGAGACTGCAACTTGGAGACGCGTCACCTGATCTATCAACCCTCTCACTACCCCAGGAGAAACTAAGCACTGCTTCCCAAACCGATCTCTGCGCCGACTTAGTTCCCATTGGCACGAGATTAGCTGAAATGGCGCGGGTTCGGTTACAATACGACGCAGCGCGGAAGAGAATACAACAAATTCAACAACAATTAGCTGACTTAGAAGACAAAGTTCAGCCTGGCCAGGCAGAATCCGATAAGGATCGACTGCTACTCTTCCAAGAGAAGGAACAGTTGCTTAGGGAATTACGGAGTATTACGCCTAGAACGAGATCTAAACAAGAGATGACTGAAATCCAAACCGAATGCAAGAGATTAGAACAAGACCTGAAGAATGCCTTTGAAATGTCCAACAAGTGTATAGCGGATAGACTGAGGCTACATGAAGAGAAGCAACTGTTGCTGCAACAGTTGAAAGACGCGTTGACGTCGATGACGACCTTAGAAGGGCAGTTGAAGACGTTATCAGCGAGTACGCTCTCGGTGTCAAGCAGTTCGAGCTTAGGGTCCCTTTCCACAGCCAGTAGTAAAGGCTCACTAAGCTCTGGCATTAGTTTTACTGATATTTACGGCGGCCCGCAAATCGCAACGTCTTTCTCAGCAGACAAGCCTATCGACATGGTCGATTTGCATCGAAGAGTTGAAAGGTGAGTGCAAAATACTTTTCCCCATTCAAACGTCAACGTAAATTATTATGAACACGTTTAGAGATACATCAAGTAAATTTATGCATCGTTCGGATAGGTTTATGCAAATTTTTCGATTTAGGACCTTTGTAAAGTAGGATTATGATATAAATTTGAACGTGGATATGGTTAACTTTCTTGAATCCATTTTGCTTTCTCAGTCCAATATTTGCAAGCTCAACCTTAAAAAGGATGGAGTGCAATGTCAGAACTTTCTCTAGGATTATCGAACGATTACGTTGCGTTTCTTCGCTTGACCTATAATGGTGGTACAAGTTTCAACATACGACTATTGTTTGTGCAAACACTTGTTGCTTATAAAAGATCATAGGTTCATAGTTCGTGAACTTGAATTATCATGACAAGATCTTATTTTGACTCGTTGAGAATTCTATGTACTGTTTTTATGTATTCAAAGTTGATTGTCCTCTATCTGTATAACCTTATTTATTTTTTACTGGGCATGTTTTTTAGTTAATTGAACATTAGATTTTACGTTCTATTCTTGGCTTCTACATATGTTAGAGTCTACTTTTTTCTTATTAACTTTTTTTTTGATGGATCCTTACAATCGGTTATTATATTACTTTCCATCAGGTTACTGCGTGGTACAAGTTATAACGCAGACAGTGCGACTCCTGGAGCCAGCAGTTCACCATCCCAGCCATCCTTATCACCGAGAAGTAGTTTGTCTTCAGCCAGTCCGCCACCACCTCCACCCTCGTACAATCAGGTGATTATATTTGAACTTGATCACTCCCAGTATCATTTAAAATGAACCTAATTAAAAAAAGTGTTATAAATGGCTACTATTAAGTTATTTAGTAGTA